CTTTAACAATATTTGCATCGATTACTTAAATTTCAATTATTCTTGGTCTTGTCTTATTATTCTATATCTTATTATTAAGAGCTTATATCTTATTGTTAAGAGCTGGTGTTTCACATGTGGTCCCATATAAATTTGATCGAGGTCAGACCAATAGTTTTTGAGTTATCCTTAATTATTTATATTAAAGTCGGTTGTACAAAATTTTTAATTTTTGATTATTATCGTAGTAAGTCTTGTATGATATCCCCTTTAAAATCATTACTCAAGAGTTGCGGGTTGTTATTTTTTGTGTCTCACTACCAATGCTTTTCTAATATTTACTAAGAAAAATGTAGTAAATTACTATTAACGTCCTTTCAACTTCAAATGACCTTTCCAAAATATGTAAAATTGTTAAATGAATGGCAGTTTTTTTTTAATTTATTAGGTTGGAAAGACGCAAATAGTTATATGCGTCTTTCCTTCGATGTTTTTGTGTTGCCAGGTGTATTTTTTAAGCTAAGATGAAAAGGAAAATTCGTTTTATTTAAATAAATAAACAAATTATCAAAAAATTTGTTCGTCCTTAAAATCTTCATGTCTCTACGTATTTTCATATAGATACCTTTTAATATAGGTACTTTAGACACAGGGTTTGAAAGAAAAATTCATCAATTTATTTTTTATTTCCATTTTACGTTTTTGTTAGTTGCGTCCTTCTTTATGTAACCCGACGACGGCAGAATGTAACCCGGCCGGCTCGTGTCGCCTCACGCTGTGACGCAGTAGACAAAGCAAGGAGTAAAGTATTCTGTGAGACAAAGAGTATAATAACTGTCCTAGCAGTAGGTTTCAGTTTTGTTGGGGTTCGTTATTAATTGTAGTTTTTGAAACAGTTCCGTGTTGATTTTGTACACGCGTGCGTGAGCGACAGCTCAATCGTATTGTTATTACTTGTGATTACGTGTTGGTATTATTCCTGTTGTTACGTTTTTGTTTTAATAATGCTTAACGCGTACTTTTATAGTGATTGTGAATACAGCAACATGTTATCCGAACCCAGGTACACGAAGTATCGCCAAATAAATTGTTAAGACGTCGGGATGCGTTTGTGCATTGCACAAAGTGTTGAAGCGTAACCGAATGCGCCCATACAAATTGCACAAAGTGCAAGCTTTAGTTCCCGGCGATCACGTCCGCCGACGAGTTTTCTGCCGTTGGTTATTATACCAGCGACAACGTGTGCCTGGTTCCATTGAGCACATTATCTGGACGGATGAGTCGACATTTACCAGAAACGGCCTGTGGAACCGAAGAAATACACACGTGTATTCAGAGGTTAACCCGCACGCTGTTCGACAAACCGGGCACCAAACCCGATGGTCGGTTAACGTATGGGCAGGTTTATTTAAGGATCGCATACTGGGACCAGTGTTTCTGCCACAGCGACTGAACAGACAGCGATACCATGTCGTGAGGTTCGTCCGTGAGCGCCTCAATGAGCTATTTGATGATCGCTGGATCGGCAGACTAGGACCACACGCTTGGCCACCTCGCTCACCAGATCTGACCCCGTTAGACTTCTTTTTGGTATGTGAAAGAAAGGGTTTTTAATCGTGAGTGTGATAGTGCTGACAAAATGCGCCAAAGGATCGTGGATGCTTTCGAGAAACTATGTACGGACTGTGTCGAAGACCACACGATGATGCCCCGCCTGCACCCAAATCTACCTTGAAATGAATGGAGCACAATTTGAGCTGTATCTCATAAGACCACGGAGGATTTAGAGCGGTAAGCTGTTTCATAACTATTTTTTTTAAATAACTTAGTACTGAACTAATCTGAATAGGTACATAACTGAATACATGAGAATAATAAACATACCTACACGATGAATAAAAACGCATGACTCCAACCTTGGTTACATTTCATTTAAGTATTTTTTCATTAGCGTATGTAGTGGTATGGCCCGCTAGTTGCGGGCCGCGCGAATTTGCGTTCGCGAGTACATTGACCTTTAGTCAGGTGATACAATTCAGTCATTCCACTGCTGGTTTTATGTTTCAGTATTTTCATGATATTTTTTATGAAATTATCGTTTCATTTAGCTGTACTAACATGATGGCGCGTGAATAAAGCTAATAAAACGTTGTTAAAAGATGATTTTTTTTTCATCAGGATCGAATTTATTTGTGACCCATGATCAAAGGTATACTTGGTGCTGTCGCCTGTCTTAGTTTTCGGGAGCGTTCCAAAAATACCCTGTATATTTTTAAATAAAACTAATTTTACGGATTTTATCGCGTATATTAACTTATTTTTATATTCCCGACGTTTCGGGTGCTTTCCAGCACCCGTGGTCACGGGGGACTGAGTTGTTTGACGTCCTGCTGTCATAGTTAGCCCGGCTACCTTCAGTTTTTTAATATTAATTTTTGGTTCGATTTACGCAGAATGAGCTTACAGTATCTTGAAGTCTAGCAGTGGTATACTTGGGTTTGGATTTGATTTTATTAATTATGGGATCCCAAGCAGATGGCAGCACCCATCCATCTTCTCTATTGAAATTAGGATGTTTTTTAATTTCAATAGCCTCGCGAATCATCCTTGGGAGGAATCGGTGTTCTTTTGCGAGGATTTGTGGTCTATCAAATCTAATGTAATGACGGGGACGATCCTGAACATGTTCACAAACTGCAGACTTCCCGATACGTCGGTGCTTCACGTCAGCTATATGTTCTTTAACGCGGGTTTTAATAGATCAAAAGATCTATTAAAACCCGCGTTAAAGAACATATAGCTGAGAGAAGATGGATGGGTGCTGCCATCTGCTTGGGATCCCATAATTAATAAAATCAAATCCAAACCCAAGTATACCACTGCTAGACTTCAAGATACTGTAAGCTCATTCTGCGTAAATCGAACCAAAAATTAATATTAAAAAACTGAAGGTAGCCGGGCTAACTATGACAGCAGGACGTCAAACAACTCAGTCCCCCGTGACCACGGGTGCTGGAAAGCACCCGAAACGTCGGGAATATAAAAATAAGTTAATATACGCGATAAAATCCGTAAAATTAGTTTTATTTAAAAATGTGTAGTGTTCGCGTAAATATAAGAAATCATTATACCCTGTATAATAAAAACTAACCTTCAAAGATTTGATCTCATACCGAGGGCCTTTGTTTGATGAATATTGAAGATACAATAAAATACATATGGTATATAATATATCCTATTGCATCTTACACATTTATATTTTATTCATATTCATTAAATAATATAACAATAGATTATATAAATTAATGAATGAAACATACATTGTTTGTCTTGAGAGAGTGACGTCCTTTTAGTCGAAGATTTCATAAAAATATCATGTTTTATCATTTTTAGCCTGAGCTCACCACTGTGACTAGTGTAAAAAAATATGATAAAAAAATCCGCTATTTTTAAACCATATTTTATCTAGTTTGGAAAATTTTCAGCCTACCGCAATAAAGATTATTGGCCGAAAGCCAAAAGTATAATAAGTTCATAATCAGTCTTTTCTCATTATAGCGTGAATAATTACCCTAATAAAAAGACAAAACATTGTACACTGCCTTAGTTGCCCCAACAAAGGTCGACTGAACCAGGGCCCATGAGTGGTCCCCTCAACGAGCAACCAAGTGCGGAGCCCAAAGGCCTATGGATAAACGTTATAAATAAGTTACAAAAACGGCTGACAAATAAACAAGCACTTACCAATCTCCGGAGGCAGGGTTGACCACAGCGTACCTGTCAGGTGATAAGTGATGTGCATTTAAAGTGGTGTGTAGTAGTGTGTACAATGTAACCTGACTTGACCGTTGAAGTCTGACCGCAGATACACAAGCGCTGCTTCTCTCCAAAGGTGAGATCTCTCAAGGGGGGCGATCACCAATTGAAAACTTCTACTTTTATTTCACTATTTCAGGCTATCAACTTTATTGTACATTTAATTGACTTCAAACTCAACTAAATCCCCGTTAATCGTAATCAAACACGTGACACACGGCCCAACTAATGAAAGTTCGAACGATCAAAGTTCAACTTCCGTTTTCACTTAGCAACAAATTATTTCTAGAAACCGAACGCGACCTTCTCTCGGGTTACAAAATTCCGCGGTTCGGGTTACAACAAACTAAAATTCTTTCGTCCGATATTAACAGGCCACACAAGCAAATTAAATATTGCAAATGCGCTTCAAAATGCAATCACTCCCGAATCTAGCGAAAAACTGCAATAGTAAATTCCACACGCATCAAAGACCGGACGTTGATCGCAATCAATATTAACTTCCAAAACAATTAACCGACCCGGCGTCCGCGCAGACAATCTATTTTTCTAGACTCAACAAAACTCCTCGTCGTTGCATAAACTTGCTTACAAAAACCGACACTATTTAGAGGTTATACGGTACGCGACCACGCTGTTCTAGTAACTGCACTGCATTCTAGGCGGTCTTAAAGGGACCCAAATCTTCGATAATAAATTAGGCACGCACAATCACTCAAATTCTAGAACATCAAAACCAAAACTGGCCGCGCGAAACCGATCCAGCGGTCGCAAACAATATAACTAGTCGACAGAGCCGCGGCGGTCAAGCTACTGACTTCGGCTTCGCCCACGCGTCGAGCGACTGACTGATCGGCCAAGAGAACCGCCCGAGAGAAGGGGCGGAGGTGACCTTCAAATTCCATCGGGCTGGACACGCCGTGACGCGCGTATTGAATGCAAGTTTCAAATGCCCACATTTGGGCCTAAACAGACCTAATAAAAAGACAAAAATCTTATAAAAAGACAAATACTTAACTGCGGCTGCGACCTTCAGGATGTATAGACACCTGTAGATAGATATTAGTGAATAGAGATCTATGGTCTAAACCTTATATACTCTTTGTTATAAACGTACTGCTTATATTCTCTTTGTTTTACATAAAACAAAAATGGCGTAAATTGTTTAATGTCAGTTTAGTGGTAAAAATGAAAAATAAATAAAGATGTTTCGAATAGTTGAGAACGTGTTCATATGTTTTTTCGTCACTATCATAAACTTGCAAATATGTAAGTAAAACGATTATTTAACATAAAGTAGTCTACCGTAAGCAAGAAATCCGCTCATAATTTTATGATATTTCGCATTTTTTGTATAATTATTTCAGAAGACCTTGATTATGTTTATTATACAGTTAGGCATTTGCTATATTCATTCGCTCAAACCCAATGGCCTTTACGTAAACTCGGTCAATCATGTTTTATGTCTACAGCAAATTTTTCTCTTTCTCTGAGGTTGGTTTGTTTTGATGTATAACGGTGTTTTTAGCATAGAATAACTTATTATTACATCCTTTCACCTTTGTACTACTATGCATATAATTTTCATACACAAACAGTTATTCACTTGCCGATATGATAAGTTTAACAGTTATTTAATCTTCATCGACATTTTAGAAAATTTAAATTATTTAGAATTTTTTTCATAATTGAAGAATTTGCCTTTATAATTTTTAATAAAAATTGTGTTATTATTTACACTTTGAATAATAAATATGGAACATTTATGAATAATAATTATAGATCTATTTATTTATAAATTTGCATTTGTAACAGACAATATTTTTTGAATAATATAATGAAAAAAATTCTAAATTTTTATTCACAATAGATAAATATTTCCTTTACAGGCGAAGCACTTGCGACTGTTATTAAATTTCCCATTTACATTGACATTATGTACTAATTTTACGTAATAGAATCTACTACCCCATATCATCGTTGTAACAGGAGATGGGCAGCAGCAATTTTCCTGAAATACTCAATATAATGAAAAACTTTTGGAAGTGAAGACTTCTTTAGAATTATTGTAATTTGAAACTTGATGAAACGAAAAAGCAACAATAAAAAGAGACAAACTTACACATCTTCATACTTGGTAGAGCCATGCTGCAGCTATAGTAATTGTATAGTTGTAGCACAAATGGTTCGGCTCGACCTGGAAGAACCACACTCTCACAGAATATCAATGTAAAATAGCAGATTAATTATTACTGGAAAAGATGCATTCCATCTTAGTTGAGGACTGACTAAAATGGCTGACAACGCATCTGCATTTTGATTCTCCAATGAGGATAGATGTAGATGTCTATGAGCCACAGTCTCTTTCTCTCGTAGTTTAGTTTTCTGATCTTTTCATTTCTAGCATGTGTAAACACATTTTTTTTATACAAAACAATTTTCACCATAGTCCTCAGGGGTGACAATACATCTCCATTTTGATTCTTAATTGATGATAAATGTAGATTTATTTAAAAATATTTCAAAGACAAAAGTCTATGGGCCACAGTAGGTAGGTAATGAATATTTCAAAATTAAAAGTTGTCTAAATTATATCTAGAATACTTTCAGTTGGCAGTTTTTATAATATCATAAAATTGGTAAAAAAAATAATAGAAAAATGCAACTTCAAAATAATTTGTACCCAGTTTTTTGTTGATATTTTCCTATTAAGTTTGAACAAGTATAAAGACTTACCATTGTATGTTATTTATTTTACTGTAGGAAAAGTACCTGTAATTTTGGAGGTCACTCCACTAGTAATAAACATTCTAAATAATTTGCATGCCCTTTGTGAGATGATAAAATTTATAATGAGGAAAGGAAGAAATAACCAAAGACTCAAAGAGTTGCTGAAACAAAAGTGATAATTTGTAAGACACATTTTTATTTGAGAAGTCTACTGTTGGATATATTCCTATTGTACTGTAGGGAATATTTGCCCTTTATATTAATTGTAAGACTTTGGCTTTGGCCACCTTTGGTCATAAACAGACACCTTCAAATCTATGGATTCAGCCAAAACTTCGATGAAACCTATGGATTCGGCCAAAACATTGGCCTATTTTGCCAAACTCGAAGGTTTCTAGCAATCGTCAAAATTGAACAAACTGTAACGAATGAGTGAGATGCGCGATGGACTTGGCCACGCGTGGTCACACTGTGTTGTGGATTTGTCGGCTTCGGCCAGAAATTGACCTTCCGTCGGACACTACTTAAATGTGATGCTTGGTTGGTGGATTAATAAAAATACCTCACACACTTTTTGTGCTGATGCCAATGCCAGTCTGGATAAACTTCTGGCGTAAACAAGCTAGTTCTACCCATATCTGTTGAAAGCTATATTAGATCATTCTAGTATCCAATGGTTATACAATATTTATATGCAGACTTCAAGAAAAAGGAGTTCTCAATCCGATTGTATGTTCTTTTTTGTGTATGTTATTCTTAATCTTTGTCAATTGTAATCAAACTATGAATATTTATTATTCTTAAATGGCTTATCCTTCAGGGATGACCCCATATAAAGAATAATTTCACCTCCAAGAGGGGGAAAGAGAGGTGAAGTATTTTTTGTGATGTGAACACAAATTAACTAGGGACACCTTATTTTGATTACCTATTTAGACAACATTTGAGCTAGTCAGTGTCAGTCAGTGATTAGACATAATGTATAAAGTCCCTAATTCTGAAGCTATTATGTGGGTATTATTTCATTCTTTTTAGTTCTTTTTGACGGCACGAGCGGGGTTAGTACCACAACCTCACAGAATACCGGCGTGAAGTGGAAGCTCTGCTTCCGTGTTTCGTCTGGTGAGTGCAGGTGACCGGAGGCCCAATCCTCCCCCCCCCCCCCCATCAACATGGTAGCGGAATTACATAATAAACTACCCCAGGAGGGTACCAGTACCCCTGGAGAATCCCTCGCTGAGCATTCACGACCATGCTATTCCACTCCTGAGCGCGGGTGCTCAGGCTGCCCCGCGTATTCTTGGGGAGTCAAAATTCCCCGGGGTACAAATTGGAGCACTCCTTTGTGCCTCGGGCTGGAGTTTGCGTGTATGTCAGAGAGGACATCTGTTCTCGACGCCTCGGCAGTCTTGAAGGTTCGGACCTGTCCATCCTTTGGCTACGCGTAGACAGCGACGACCATCCGCGCGTTTACGTGTGCCTCTATAGGTCCCATAGCGGTAATGCCGAAACAGACCGCCTCATCGACCACGTCCAAATGGCTACAGATTCCTTGCTACAACAGGTCCTTGGCGATTTTAACGCCCACCACGCCGAATGGCTCGGTTCACGTTTAACCGATCATGCGGGGAGATCTGTTTATGACTTTGCCTTGGCATATGGTCTGACACAACTGGTTACATCGCCTACGCGGATTCCAGATGTTGAGGATCATACACGTTCCCTGTTGGACCTTCTGCTGACCTCTCATCCGGACGGATATCAGGTTTCCGTCGATGCCCCTCTCGGCTCTTCGGACCATTGTTTGATCCGGAGTGTGGTGCCACTCACGCTCCCCTCGCGGTTGCGTTCTGCAGGTTGCTGCCGTGTTTGGGATTACAGGTTGGCGGATTGGGACGGAATGCGGTCTTTCTTTGCTTCCAACCCATGGGGGCGGGTTTGCTTCTCGCCGGATGATCCCAGCGCTGTTGCTGACTCTGTCACTGATGTGGTGCTACAGGGAATGGAACTATTTATTCCATCTGTGGCACCCATCGGAGGCAGATCTCAGCCTTGGTTTGGTCGCTCCTGTAAGACTGCATTACGCAGTAAGCAGGAGTGTTATCAAGCCTGGGCTGCGGCTTCGGCGACTTGGGATGTAAACACCAGCACACTTAAAAAGAAGTATAACTTCGCCTCCAAGTCCTTCAAAAGAGTTATTGCCAAGGCAAAGTCAGAGCACATAGGCAGAATTGGCGAGAAACTAGTTCGCCTTCCTTCGGGAACCAGTGCATTCTGGTCTCTCGCCAAGGCTGTCCAAGGGAATTTCTGTAAGCCATCATTACCATCTCTACACAGAAAGGACGACTCACTGGCCTACGACGCAAAAGAGAAAGCCGACCTTTTAGGCTCCCTTTTTGCGTCCAACTCGACTGTTGATGACGGGGGGAACACACCGCCGACCATCTCGCAGTGTGAGTGCTCCATGCTGGATGTGCGGTTCTCACAGCGCTCGGTTCGCAGAGCACTCCTCTCCCTTGACATCCACAAGTCGAGTGGGCCTGACGGAATCCCCCCAATTGTGCTGAGGACGTGTGCTCCGGAGTTGGCACTGGTTCTAACGCGTCTTTTCCGGTACTTCTACTCCCTACGCGTAGTCCCGAGATCATGGAAGACAGCTTTTGTCCACCCGATCCCTAAAAAAGGCGACCGCTCAGACCCGTCCAACTACAGCCTATCGCTATCACCCCCTTGTTCTCCAAAATAATGGAATCCGTTATAAACTGCCACCTCATGCAGTACCTTGAGGATCACCTGCTGATTAGTGACCGCCAGTACGGTTTTCGTCGGGGTCGATCAGCTGGTGATCTTCTGGTCTACTTAACTCATAGATGGGCGGAGACAGTAGAGTCCAAGGGGGAGGCATTGGCCGTTAGTTTGGACATTGCGAAAGCCTTCGATCGGGTGTGGCACAAAGCGCTTCTTTCGAAGCTCCCTTCCTATGGGCTTCCCAAGAAATTATGCAATTGGATCACCAGCTTTCTTGCAGATCGGACCATCAAGGTCGTTGTAGACGATGCATGCTCCGACTACAAGCCTATGCTGGTATTCCACAAGGCTGCGTGCTATCACCAACGCTGTTTTTTCTGCATATCAATGATATGTTGCAAGCCGGTAGCATTCATTGCTATGCGGATGACAGCACTGGTGATGCTCTATACACCGGCCGTGCCAATATTTCTCGGGAAAACGTCACCGAGTACCGGAACAAACTTGTGTCTGAAGTCGAGTCTTTGCTGGACAAAGTCTCGGATTGGGGGCGACTAAATCTAGTCCAGTTTAATCCTCAGAAGACACAAGTTTGCGCGTTTACCGCTAAAAAGAACCCCTTTGTCGTATCTCCTCAGTTTCAAGGTACTCCCCTTGTTGCCTCAGCCAGTATCGGAATCCTCGGCGTCGACATATCGAGTGACGTGCAGTTTCGTGGTCACTTGGAAGAGAAGGCCAAATTGGCCTCTAAAAAGCTTGGCGTGCTCAGCAGAGCGGGATAGTATTTCATG